ATATATATATATATAATGAGATAATGAGAATCATAATTGACAAACGTAACCACCAAAGGTGCGGACTTTTATTTTGAACTCTAGTCCATTGTAGCGGTGCTTTTAAACTTGTCCAGATCAACGCTTCGCTTCCTCCTGTTACTAACAGCACAAACAAAAACAAACGGTAAAGTCTCACTCTATTGTTTTTCCTGTCATTTTCATTTAAAGTAAGAATATATATATGTTTATCATCAGTACAGTCTCAGTTTCTGTCAGTTATTGTGAATAACACGATAAGCTAACAGTTAGCCAGGCTGAGCTTAATTAATGTACCGATCATAATCTATAGCTTTTGACTTGAATTTAGCATGTAACAGATATCATGCTAAATAAACTATTACAAAAATAACCATGATTGCATTATAACTAAACATGTTATTTGTCACATTGATTACCAGTTGTATAACTAGTTTACTACTATAACGTTAGTGAAATGTAAGAAAAACATTGGGTAAATTGTGTTTACTATAGTTTAACTAACGTTGCAGTAATGTTTTTTTTGCTTACTTGTACCGTAAACTTGTGTTCTGCACAGAAAGCTATTAGTCTTCAAATGCAAAGTTTATTGTTTGATCAGAATGTTCCATTCTTTGCCCATAATTGTATTGTTTTTGTTTTTTTCTAGGTGATACCCCTGTCTGTTACTGAGATGTCTTTAGTGCGCATAAACCGTCCTTTCTATTGTGCTGGTAAAAGACCCATACGAACCAGAAAAGTGTCTGCACCAAAGAAAGAATGGGTGGTAAGTAAAGAATGTGATAAACTGTATAAGTTAAATTCATTTCTACAAGTAGTGCCTCATCATTTCTATTTTATTTTATTCTTTAGAGCACAGTCAATGATCTTTCAGTGCACAAAGCCACACCAGAGGAGCTGGTAAGATGTTTATATATTTTTTTCATGTATTTGGCCATAGTGTATTTTTAGCCAGGTATTGATCTGCTTTCAGGCTCGACGTCATGAGATGCACAGGTCTCAGAACAGAGTTGTTGCACAGTGGGAATTAAAAGAAAAGACTCTAACACGTAGACGGAGGAAGAACCAGCCCCTGAGTCCTCCAGGACTTGATAGAGCCAGGCGAGACATCATCAGAGAGGTGAGTAAGGATTGCATTTGCCCTACAAAATTAGGCTTGTTATAACAGGGTTTCTGCAGGGTCTTTAAAAGTGTTAAATCTCAAAATCCAAATTTTAGGCCTTAAAAAGTCTCAAATTTACCGAAATATTGTGTTGTTGATCTTACATCTTTTTTTAAACATGTTTTAATTTTTCTCTGTTCATGTATTTTTACCAAATTTGGCAACAACAAAAAAACATACAATCACCAGCAATCATCCCAATAAAAATTTAAACTTTTTATTTAAAAAGGTAATGTTTTTACTCTATCATAATGGTTTATTTATTTTACTTGCAGTAACATTTGTTTAAAAGTTCTCCGTGTATTTACTGCTAAGGACACCGACCTGGACAGATAGTTGTGCATAGATTTAGTTTACCATAGTTTTAAAAACTTTTAAAACATATGTTCATTTTTTAAAAATTATTTAAAAGAATGTTTATGTTGGAAAAAAAGTGTATGGATACAAGTAGATCTTGCTTGTTTTTAAACAATATTTAAAATATTTAGTTTAGAAACAAAATGCTAAATATTTTTATTTTTTATGATTAATGTGTTGTTTTATTAATACATGTTTTCAATTATATAATTTTTTTGGTAGGGCAAATAAAAATATTTTCCATCTTGCCCATTTGAAAAATTCCTTAGCGTTTAGCCCTTTATGGGTCTAAAACTTCATTCATGATGGTCTTAAAATTGTCCTAAAAAGTCTTAAATTTAACCTGCAGAAACCCTGTATAACTAAAGCTGGCAGGATCATCATCACTGTATCATAATTGGTTACATTTAAGGGCGTTCATTAAGATAGGATCAAACTTATAACTCCTATATTTTATATAAAAATAAAACATATATATTGAGCGAGGAATAGGCTATAAGCGCATATAT